TTCCGATCTTCTAATTCAGTTATTCTTTATTTCTTCTCTTATTCCACCAATCTAGAGAGCTATTTATCTATAAATATTAGGGTAAACCATATGAATAGGTTTAACCTAATAAGTCAAAGATGTTTGGCAATTGGCAGTTTCATATGTTCCAGCCTAATAAGTATATATACATTTATACACACATGCATATATTTATATTTGAGAGTGGGGGGTGGGGAGAGGAAGGGAAACAGACAGAAGGCCAAAGACAGAAATCAGGGGATGTTTAATTCTGTTTAATTCTCACTGAAAAGGAGGTGTCTATGAAGGAACCTTTTCAAGAGGTATGAAAAGAACCAGGAGAACAGTAGTGCCAAAGAAACAGAGAGAATACAGGCTATCAAGAAGGAGTGAAGGGATAATGTTGCTACATATACCAAGAGGGTCCAGAAAGATGTGGACCAAAAAAAAGTTTCTTTTGGAATTGATAATACAGAGGTCTTGGCTACCTTTGTGAGCAGGTTCAGTGGAGTGTGGGGGTAAAAACCAAATTGTGGAGGTTGATGAGTTGATGAGAAATGAAGACAAGACAATGAGTATTGACTGTGTTTCCAAAAGTTTGGCTGAAAAGAAGAGGTAGAGAGAGAGAGAGAGAGCTATAGTGGGACTTTGAATCAAGGGAAGGTTGTAATTTTCTTTGTCCCCAGAGTGAGAAAAACCTGCACATGTTTATAGATAGGATGCAAGGAGCCAGATGAGAAGATGGAGAGGTTGAAAATGGGGGAAAGTTGAGGGATAATTGACAGTGGCAGGGTTTCAGAAAAAGCATGAAGGTATTGGTTTAAGACTAGGTAGAGGACTTTGCTTGAATGGGTGGTAAGAGGTTGGGAGGTACTACTTATTCTCTAAGATTGGGGATGAGGATGTAGAGATAGGTGGACATATAGATATATTTGTACAGTTTGAAAAAAGAGCAAGAAATTGAAATACTTGTGCCTAAAAATGTTAAATTTCTCAAAATAGGAAGTGCATTGTAGAGGACAGAATTGAGTAGGGGGCTTCAAGATGGTGTTATGTGCTTAGCCATTAAAAAGAATGGGAGAGAGAGACAGCTAATTGAAGAGAAATATAGTAAAAAGGATTATTGAGCTTCATTAAGGGCCCAGATGAAGTTGGAGACCATAACTTAGGAGTGTAGAGCTGTGCTTCTCAACCATTTTTGTTTTAAGCCCATGCCCCCTTCTCATAAACGTAAGAATCTCATGCCTTCCTTTAATGTGGAGGCTGGATGGGGTAGAGTAGGTGAGTGGAGATTTTCTGAATATGTCATAGTAATATCGAATATCTTTTCAAGTGTTAAATTGACACCAAAATAGAAGATTGTTTTAGGTGATTCCAAGGTTGCTTTCAACTTGAACATATTTATAACCTGAATGTGAGGTGTCAATTTCTAAAAAAAATTTTTTAAATTAATTTATGTATTTATCTATTTTTGGCTGTGTTGGGGTCTTCGTTGCTGCACATGGGCTTTCTCTAGTTGCGGCGAGCTGGGGCTACTCTTCATTGTGGTGCGCGGGCTTCTCATTGCAGTGGCTTCTCTTGTTGAGGAGCATGGGCTCTAGGCGTGCAGGCTTCAGTAGTTGCAGCATGTGGGCTCAGTAGTTGTGGTTCGCGGGCTCTAGAGCACTGGATCTATAGTTGTGGCGCACAGGCTTAGTTGCCCTGCGGCATGTGGGATCTTCCTGGACCAGGGATCGAACCCGTGTCCCCTGCATTGGCAGGTGGATTCTTAACTACTGCACCACCAGGGAAGTCCCTAAAAAAATATTAATTGAACTGTGCTATGAAGTAGCAGTAAGCATTCTATCACTGGAGATACTCAAATATAAATAGTAGCTAGACCATCATTTATTAAGGATATTTAAGAAAGGTTTCCTGTGTTAGGTTTTGGGATGGTATGGATTGCTTTCAAATTTATAGATATTATGATTTATCCTTATAAGTGTTCCAGGCACACTTATTTCAAAACTATATTTTTTGTATGTGAATGAGTCCCTGGGAAATCAAGGCAAGGCCTGACAAAGGAAAAGCTATAGGATTGTTTGTTTTCCACAGTCACAGAAGATAAATTTTATGACTAACAAAAAGAGTAAATTGCAGTTGTAGACACAAGGCGAAAAGGGTGGGAAACTCCTATCTGTAGCAACTTCAAAGGATCTCTGAGGGGAAATAATAAGGGGTGGGTGATGTAATATATGTTATGAATGAATGTAATTTAAAGAAACAAGAGTCTGTTCCTCACTGATAAGATGGGGGCAGGCTTGTAGAGAAAATGGTAAAATAAACTTGTACTTGCATTAATCTGTCTCTTGGTGACCAATTAGGTTGGAGAAGCATTTATTGGGTTCTGAATTGGATGTGGTTATCTCCACAGTCCCTCCCACCTCTAAGCCTCTGGTTTAGTCTGTTAGTTCTCAGCACTATGGTATGTCTGATGATTTTTTTTTGTTTTGTGTCCACAGTGTAGTGTTCTTCAGTGTCTGAAAGAGCTACTGCAGAATTGGCTGTTGTGGCTTTCTATGGACATCCACATGAAATCTGTGAACAGTCCTCTGTGAGTTATCTTACAACCCTCCTTAAGAGTTGATCTCTACAAAACTGTTTGCATATGGAGTTTAATAGTGTGGCATAAAAAAAAAAAAATAGTGTGGCATAAAACCTAATTGCTTCATGTAAATGCTTAATTGTACTTTTCTTAAAAAACTGTTTTTTGTTACTTTTCACTCTTCCTTACAATCCTGTGAGGAAAGTTAATTCTTCAAGTTTTATTCTATAAGTCAGAAAGCAACCCCCAAGCCTCTGAGTCACTTGCAAGAGTTAATATAGCAAAACAATGGCCAGCTGACGTCAGAACTTGCAACTTTGACTTCTATTCAGTTTAGCTCATTTTATAAAATGTATTCTTGCTTATATGTGAAGTCAATTTTGATGATGGCTAGGAAGATCTGTAATTTTGCTGTACAGATTTCTTTTTATGTTTCTCTGATGTATTTTGCTTATATATGTAAATTTATTTTCACTTTATAATTAAAAAAGAGCCCTGAATTTCCATTATGTTCATTACTGTTAAATGTGAAACCTCAAAGTGAAAGTAAAAGCCTGACTGAATTTCAAGGAACTGCCTGATCAGGTTTTTTTGACTCTTTCTACCTAGAGTCTTTTGCTTCTCCTGTATTATTTTTTAACATTAATTTTTTTTATATTATAGAAAATTACAAACATATTCAAAAGTAGAGAAAATAGTACAATTGTTACCCTTATGTACGCATCACCCGGCTTCAACAGTTATCAACTCATGGTTAACTTTTTTTCATTTATAACACCCCTCACTTTCCTCCTCCTTTGTACTAGATAACTTTTTAAGCAAAACCCAGACATCATTTCAGCTGTTGAAAAATGATACCAGTATAACACCTAAAAATTAATAGTTCTTAATATGTTCAAATATCTAATGGATGTTCAATTCCCTGTATTATCAGTCACATTCTTACTTTATAAGATAAGGATCCCTTAGCTCCAACTGCAAGTAGCTGGTGGTTGGCTTAGTTAGATTAGCCCAGATCTATTTTTCTATATGTTCTTTTCCCTATAGTTATCTCCTACTTTGTTAGGAGAATAGAAGCTTCTTGGGAGTTGCCTGGAAACTTTTTAATTCTTCATATTCATTATTGCAGTGCTTCCATATATCGTGTATGTCTGATCACTTTTAGAAGGAAATGGAGCATTAGTGAGTAGTGAAAGTATCTTGTAAAGCAGTGCTTCTCAAAGTGTGGTCCCTGAACCAGCAGCATCAGCATCACCGGGGGTCCTGTAGAGATACAAATTCTCAGGTACTACCCTAGACCTACTGAAGTAAACTCTGGAGGTAGAGCCCAGTAATCTGTGTTTTAACAAATGCTTCCATAATTTTGGTGCAAGCTAAAGTTTGTGAACCACTATCATAAATTCCGTTTGAATAGTTAACCTCTTCAAACACCTCAATTCTATTAAGAATAGTATGTTTGCATTTATAATCTTTGGCCAATTTGCAATGTAAGTCTTAGGCACCCTAATACAGGTGCTTTATAATTTATATATTTTCTTTCTAAAAATCCTAGGATCCTTTTTAATTAGTGTCATAAATTTTGAGAGGGCATTTACAAAGGAGCTCTGCTTTCTAAAATTCTTAAAACAAATAAATGGACATAATTGTAGGTAACTTTGCTTGTCATAATACTACTTGGCATTATATAATATAGCTGTTAAGCTCTCAATAATTTTTCTATCTTGGAGATATGAGTGTAATGCTATGTCTCCATCGTATGACCATATGCCATATGACTGGCAAAGAGGGAGTAAATTGTAGTTGTAGATCACAAGGAGAGAAGGGTGGGAAACCATTCTCAGCAGTGGCTCTCCAGGGGGCATTTTTGGTTGGAACAGTGACTGGGAAGAGGGTGCTAACATCTTTTAGTAGGTAGGAGCCAGAGGTGCTAAACGTTCTGTAGTGGGTGGGGAGTAGGAGGCAGTCCTGAATGGCGAATTGTGTCATCCAAAATGCCAGTAGTGTCCTGTGGAGAAACACTTTCAAAGATGCTACCTGAGCAATCATCATTGTACAAATTATTTCAGACATATTTGTCAGGTGCTGCCAGAAATCATAAAGTACAGTTTTGCAAGTGATGGGCTGACTGTATGTATGCCCACCTATTTGAACGGTCTCTTAATCTTTCCCTGCTTGCTCTGGCACAGAATCATCATGGTGGTGGGTAATGGTAGAGTTATCATCATCTCAGGCTCTAAGACTATATGCTATTCCTTTTTTCTTGTGCATAACTGTTGTTGGCTACCTAGATCTGAGGGTAAAGCTATGAAATCACATTTCCCAGTCTTTTCCTAATCCACTCAACAGTGGATTGAAGGAGAGGGGTGGGGAGATGGATGGATTGAACCAATTATACCCATGTGTAATTTGAAGAGACATGGTTCATTGATTTGGGAAGAATATAAAATATCTAGATATGGTTTTTACTAGAAGAATGAAAGATGCCAAAAATTTTACTCATTCAGTTTTAGAATCGAATTCCAGTTAAATTAAAGTGAAAATATTTTTAACAGCATTTTAATTCAGGAATTCAGGCAAAACTGGGTTTGGATTTGTGTACTTAGAAACTAATTTGCTGACTGCTATGGTCCCTGGACATTGGTGATATTATCTAAAGTCTGGAGCTTAATCCTTTCTTTCTCTGGTATTTACTAGTAGAATGTTTGCTCAGGGCTGTTCTATGAATTGATCTTAATGGTTCCCTAGAGGGCTGTATAGGTTTATGATTAATCACTGCAGTTTTAAAAAATGTGAATTATACATTGGAGCACTGATCGTTTTCTGAAATTCCCACTGACTTTCTGCTGTATATTTAATCCAGCTTTAGCTTGGAAAATGTGAGGACTTTTGCTAATATGGATCTTGGTTTCTTATTGCAGAGAGACAACTTTAGGTGGATCCATGAACTCTGTGTCTAAACTGATTCACTATGTAGGGTGGCTGTCCACTACTGCAATGCGCTTGGAAAACAACAGTACTTTCTTGCTGCACTTTATTTTGGATTTCTATGAGAAGGTAGTACACATCCCATTTTCGCTACTTAGATTTTTGTGATGGCTGTCTGCTTTACTAGTCTGTTGTTTAAATTTTATGCACAACTATTAAATTGGGCTATGACCTTATTAGCATACTTGAGATAAGCTGTGTATTTTGAAGTTAATGATTGTATTCTGGCCTGAATAGTTGACATGCATAAAACAAAGGGGAAAAAGCAAATGCTTTTTTTGAAGTCCAGGTACCACTTTAATAGACTTTCCCCTGAATAATGCTGGCCCTAGACAGAAGTCTGTCTTTAGTATCACTTTTTTCTCATCCATTGTACATTTCCAACCCCTGGTAAAAAAAACCAAAAATACCTTTTATTTCTTTAGCTCTCCACCCCCCACCTTTCAACTGCCTTATTTCTCCCAGTACCTATGATTCTGGTCATCTTCTATTGTTTTATAGTATTCAACCTAGACAGAACTATTATCCAGGAAGTACCCACTAATCTCAGTTTTCCTGGCTTCTTCTCTTCATTGATACCTAGTTGTCTTGTGTTATATTTGCTTGGAAGCATGCTCCTTTGTTTTCCAGGTTGACAGCTAGCTAATATGATAATTCAGTATTTATAGGATTTAAGAAGAAAGAAATGCTCCCTTCCCCTTTCTCCCTAACTCTAAGATCTCTCCCCAGAAAAAAATAAAAGATTTCAATAACTACCTTGCAGAAATAATCCACTATTGTAAGGTTGCTGTTTGGTGAGGTACATTTTTAAGCAGGTTGTGGCTACGTATTCTATTTATGAATCAGGCAGGCCCAAACCTGATGTTATATTATTGCTTATTCTCTAGTGGTGATTCTTTGAGTGAAGTTGGTTGAGGAGTTCTGAGGAATAATTTATATACTGGTGTTGTCATTCTTCCCAAAAGGTATGTGACATATATATAAATTATAACCTTCCATTGGTGGTGTTGTTTCCTCCTGGGGTCTTCTATCCCGCACTCCTCAGCCTGGATTCCAGTATCCTGAACCAGCTCTGTTACATTATGGACAGGTACAAAGCCTTTTTACCATTTTATGAATTAATACATCATAATTCCATCTTCATTTTCCATCTATACAATAATTTATGAATATACTACAATAAGTTTATTGTACCTAATACAGTGAAATATAAAATACAATAAAATTGTTTCCATTTTCTGCCCAGGACCTTTGGAAAAAGGAAACATGGCTTTCTTTAGGGAATGACCTTCCGACATGGGACTATTTTAACTGTGTTTTTAAAATGTCACTGTGGGGGATATGGATTGAAAGAATTCACAGTTAAGGATCTTTTGTGCAGTGGTACCGTTGCACTCAGCATTGTTAATTCTCATTGCTGTGTCTCAAAGAATAATTAGTCATTTACTGACAACTGGTTTAAGTCTACATAGCTTCTCTGGTAAAAAGAACATTTTCTGGGAGATAAGGGGAGTTATTACCAATTATATGAAACTGTAAGTATTATTTCTGATCTCTTCTAATTTTTTCACTTATGGACTGAAATTGCTCTTTTTAGCCCATAAGTGTAGACCCTTTTGGCATAACTTATGAGACTATGCCAAGGTTAAAATGTTGAAAATCTACTTAGAATAGTTCTCAGTCAAGAAAAGATTACATCTCTAAGTTTTCCTTTTATCCTTTCTACTGCACCTTTTTTTCCACATTAGGAAAATACGTTTTATAATATGTTTTGTATCAGTGCCTGCTTTTGAGCCTCTATTAATTTTTAACAGTGAAACATTAAAAGCATTTCCTTTTTTACAGAAGTATAATTTACAGTCATATCTTAAATGCATATCTTAAATTTACAAGTACTTATCCTAAATGTACAACTCAATATTTGAGCCTCTATTAATTTTTATTCTTTGAGGAAAATGTACCACAAAAGGAAAAAAAAACTTAAATAGACAGCTGGATATTTGTGTATGTGCATATATTTACAGTTAAAATGTAAACTTTTGTTTATGTTTACATATCAAAGGCATTTAATGGTAAAAGTTCTCTTTGCTCTGTCTTTAGGTATCGTAAAAATTTGACTGCTGCAAAGAAAAATGAGTTGGTACAAAAGGTATGGATGATGAATCTCTGTTTTAAATCACCATTGTTTAAAAATTGAGTGTAGAGATATATGATCTGTTGGGAATAAGAAGGAAAGGGGGAATAGGTGATAATGACAATTTTTTTTTCTTTCCCAATAGACAAAATCAGAGTTCAGCTTCAGCAGCAAGACCTATCAAGAATTTAATCACTATTTGACAGCCACGGTTGGTTGCCTGTGGACATCCAAACCTTTCCAGAAAGGATTATATATTGACCCCAAAGTCTTAGAAAAAGCTTCAGTAGCAGAGTACAAAAACAGTTTAAATTTAGTCCATCATCCTGCTCTTTTGGGTTATGCTGTTTTCTTTCTGCTACAGGTAAGAGTATTTAAATGATTTTTAGATTTTCTATAGGAATACTATGATGGCAGAAATAGGAAACGCCATAAATTTAGCGTGTCTGAATTGCAAGACGTGTTCAGTCATACTTTTTGAGTATCAGCTAACTTTTGGGCATTGTGCTAGGCTCTGGGGATTCAAAGTTAAGTAATTAGTTTCTACTCACAAAGAGCTTGGGTTTGTGGCAGAGACAAATTTGTGAACATTACTGCAATACAGTTAGGTGAAGTGAGAAGAGATACAATTGTGAGAAAGATGGGGGAGTGAATATTAGTTCAGTTCTACCTGGGTAGAGGTGGTGCCAGGTAAGAAAAGGGTACGGAGAAGTTGAAGCTTTAGTAAAATCCTTCTAGGCAAGATGGAAAATGTAGGCTAGATGATGTTATAATTAGAGTTGGAGTCTTAGCCAAAGACTGCTGATTTAATGGGTTGATATCAGTATGTAAGCAAGGAGGTCTTCTCAGGACTTTACACCAGCCCTGTCATTTTCAACATTATCAGTGACTCAGAGAACTCAAATGGTGTGCATATCATGTGTAGATGACACAACAGGATGGGATTACAAATACACTGTTAGAATCTGGATTCAGAATTCCCTGAACAGACTGGAACATTGAGAAATCTAACAAAATGAAAAAATGTATAGAACGGGGGAGATAATCATTGAGTAAATGTTTAATATATTCATGTAAGAACCAGTCACTGTGGTGAACAAGACACATCTGAGTACTGCCCTCATAGAGCTTGGAATCTAGTCAGGGAGGCAGTCATTAAACAGACATCTTACAATAAAGAATGATGAATAATATAGGGAAAGTACAGAGAATGATGAAAAAATATACAGGGGGGCTTCTGTAGAGCCAGTTCAGGCTTTACAGAAGTGATGCTAATTGGAGTTTTGAAGGATGAGTATGAGCTTGTCAGGAGGAGCAGTATTTGAGGAAAAGTGTAAAGCTAGAACAGGGGACAGCAAAATTTTTCTGTGGAGGGCCAGACTGTAAATATTTCAGGCTTTGCAGGCCACATGGTCTCTGTCAAGATTACTCAACTTTGCTGTTGTAGCATGAAAGTGGCTATAGACAATGAGTAAACAAACGGGCATAGTTATGTTCCATAACAGTTTATTTACAAAAACAGGCATTGGACTGGATGTGGTTTGTGGACCCCTATGTTAGAGCATGCTATGTTTGAGGAATTTATGCAGAATTACAGGGCTTGATCAGGGATTCTACCCTGACTCAGCAGCAGAAGTACCCGGGCTGCTTTTCCAAAGTATACATCCTTGATTGCTTCCAGCCTGACATTTTGATTTACTAACTGGGGTGATATCCAGGATCTGCTTTTTTTTTTTTAAACATGTTTATTGGAGTATAACTGCTATACAATGGCGTGTTAGTTTGCTGCGTAACAAAGTGAATCAGCTATACACATACATACATCCCCATATCTCCTCCCTCTTGCGTCTCCCTCCCACCCTCCCTATCCCACCCCTCTAGGTGGTCACAAAACACTGAGCTGATCTCCCTGTGCTATGCAGCTGCTTCCCACTAGCTATCTGTTTTACATTTGGTAGTGTATATATGTCCATGCCACTCTCACTTCGTCCCAGCTTACCCTTCCCCCTCCCTGTGTCCTCAAGTCCATTCTCTACGTCTGCGTCTTTTTTTCTTTTTTTTGAATTTTTGAATTTTATTTATTTTTTTATACAGCAGGTCGTTATTAGTCATCAATTTTATACACATCAGTGTATACATGTCAATCAATGTCTGTGTCTTTATTCCTGTTTTGCCCCTAGGTTCTTCAGAACTATTTTTTTTTTAGATTCCATATATATGTGTTAGCATACAGTAGTTGTTTTTCTCTTTCTGACTTACTTCACTCTGTATGACAGACTCTAGGTCCATCCACCTCACTACAAGTAACTCAATTCCGTTTCTTTTTATGGCCGAGTAATATTCCATTGTATATATGTGCCACATCTTCTTTATCCATTCATTGGTTGATGGACACTTAGGTTGCTTCCATGTCCTGGCTATTGTAAATAGTGCTGCAATGAACATTGTGGTACATGTCTCTTTTTGAATTATGGTTTTCTCAGGGTATATGCCCAGTAGGGGGATTGCTGGGTCATATGGTAGTTCTATTTTTAGAACTATCTATTTTAAGGAACCTCCATAGTGGCTGTATCAATTTACATTCCCACCAACAGTCCTTTGCCCATTTTTAAATTAGGTTATTTGTCTTAATGGCTTATAAGACTCATGTCTATATTGTAGATTCAAGTTGCTTATCAGGTATATGATTTGCAAAGCTTTCCCCTATTCTTTGGGGTGTCTTTTCATTTTTTGGTTGGTATCTTTTGAAGCACAAAAGTTTAAGTTTTGATGAACTCTATTTATTACTTTTTTTTTTTATCACTTGTGCTTTTTTTTAAATGCCTCCTCATTTCCTTCTCCCCCCAGCCCCTGGCAATGACCAGTATACTCTCTGCTTCTATGAGTTTGATTATTTCAGATTCATCATATAAGTGGTATCTTATAGTATTTGCCCTTCTGTGTTTGGCTTATTTCACCTAGCATAATTTCCTGCAGATTTGGTCTCTCAGTAGATTGTAGAGGATTAGGGATATTGGTTTCTCCTCATGATGTCTGTCTGATTTTGGTCTCAGGTTAATTGTGGCCTCAAAAAATAAGTTAGGAAGTATTCTCTCTCCTGTTCTTTGGAAGAATTTGTGAAGGATTGGCATTAATTCTTCTTTAAATATTTGGTAAATTTTACCCATGAAGCCATCTGGTCATGGGCTTTTATGTAATTTCTTGATAATACTTTTTTTAAATAAAAATGTCTTTTCCATTATGGTTTATTGCAAGATATTGAATATAGTTTCCTGTGCTATACAGTAGAACCTTGTTGTTTTGATAATACTTTTTATTTCTTTTTTCTTTTTTGGTTGTTGTTTAATTCTTTTCTTAAAAATTTATTTATTTATTTTTAACATCTTTATTGGAGTATAATTGCTTCACAGTGGTGTGTTAGTTTCTGCTTTATAGCAAAGTAAATCAGCCATACATATACATACGTTCCCATATCTCCTGCCTCCTGCGTCTCCCTCCCTCCCACCCTCCCAATCCCATCCCCCCCAGGCGGTCACAAAGCACCAAGCTGATCTCCCCGCGCCACGTGGCTGCCTCCCACGAGCTATCCATCTCACGCCCAGTAGTGTATATATGTCCATGCCACTCTCCCACCCCGTCACAGCTTACCCCTCCCCCCCTTATCCTGAAGTCCATTCTCTAGTAGGTCTGTGTCTTTATTCCCCTCTTACCCCTAGGTTCTTCATGACCTTTTTTTTCTTCTTAGATTCCATATATATGTGTTAGCATACGTTATTTGTTTCTTTCTGACTTACTTCACTCTATATGACAGACTCTAGGTCCATCCACCTCACTACAAATAACTCAATTTCGTTTCTTTTTATGGCTGAGTAATGTTCCATTGTATACATGTGCCACATCTTTATCCATTAATCCGATGATGGACACTTAGGTTGCTTCCACCTCCTGGCTATTGTAAATAGAGCTGCAGTGAACATTTTGGTACATGACTCTTTTTGAATTACGGTTTTCTCAGGGTATATACCCAGTAGTGGGATTGCTGGGTCATATGGTAGTTCTATTTGTAGTTTTATAAGGAACCTCCATACTGTTCTCCATAGTGGCTGTACAAATTCACATTCCCACCAGCAGTGCAAGAGGGTTCCCTTTTCTCCACACCCTCTCCAGCATTTATTGTTTCTAGATTTTTTGATGATGGCCATTCTGACTGGTGTGAAATGATATCTCATTGTAGTTTTGATTTGCATTTCTCTAATGATTAATGATGTTGAGCATTCTTTGATGTGTTTGTTGGCAATCTGTATATCTTTGGAGAAATATCTATTTAGGTCTTCTGCCCAGTTTTGGATTGGGTTGTTTGTTTTTTTTTAATATTGAGCTGCATGAGCTATTTATATATTTTAGAGATTAATCCTTTGTCCATTGATTCGTTTGCAAATATTTTCTCCCATTCTGAGGGTTGTCTTTCTGTCTTGTTTATGGTTTCCTTTGCTGTGCAAAAGCTTTGAAGTTTCATTAGGTCCCATTTGTTTATTTTTGTTTTTATTTCCATTACTCTAGGAGGTGGATCAAAAAAGATCTTACTGTGATTTATGTCAAAGAGTGTTCTTCCTATGTTTTCCTCTAAGAGTTTTATGTGTCCGGTCTTATATTTAGGTCTCTAATCCATTTTGAGTTTATTTATGTGTATGGTGTTGGGGAGTGTTCTAATTTCATTCTTTTACATGTAGCTGTCCAGTTTTCCCAGCACCACTTATTGAAGAGACTGTCTTTTGTCCATTGTATATCCTTGCCTCCTTTGTCATAGATTAGTTGACTGTAGGTGCATGGGTTTCTCTCTGGGCTTTCTATCTTGTTCCATTGATCTATGTTTCTATTTTTGTGCCAGTACCATATTGTCTTGTTTACTGTAGCTTTATAGTATAGTCTGAAGTCATGGAGTCTGATTCCTCTAGATCCCTTTTTTTCCCTCAAGACTGCTTTGGCTATTCAGGGTCTTTTGTGAAATATTTTTAAGCCGGGTTGTAGTATGGTCTGAGTTGATGTTTAGTGGAGATCACTTTGGCTTTTTGGTGGAGGATAGAGTTATAAGAGAAGGCCTGAGTGGAAGCAGAGGCACCAATTAGGAGGCTCTTGGTGTAGACAAAATAGATTGATAGTGATTTGTATGCAAGTGGTGGTAGTGAAGATGCATAGAAGTGGACTGATTAGAAATATACTGCAGAGATAGAGCAGACAGGGCCTGATGGCTTGATCAGAAGTGGGAATGAGAAAAAGGAAAGGACTTTTGAATTTTTGAATTGAGCAAGTGGGTTGATGGTGGTTCCATTTATTAATAAGAGGAATACTGATAGAAGAACAGGATAGGTTATTTTGTTTTTTGCAGAGGACAAGTTGAGAATGAAGTTTCGTTTTGACGTACTTAAGTTTGAGATGCATATTAGATATCCAAGAAGAAGTGTAAGTAAGCAGTTTGAAATAGGGGCTTAGAACTCAAGAGAGTGGTTGGAATGAGAGGAATCAATAAGGAATTCATCAGCATGGACTATACTTCATCAGTTCCAAAAACACACATTTTTTTTCACTTTTTATAACTTCTCAGAGATCAAGATGCATCTTGTGATCGATGTCAGCCAGGCAGCAATCATGATATAGTTGTCATTTGCTGTTTTTGAGTGTGTGCAGGCAGATTGCCAGAATCAGACCTTGCAGATTGGATGTCAGCAGCATGGGGGAAAGATTGGAGACGATGCTGGAGCACTGTTTTAAGCTCTCAAAACCAAATGACTTGGAGGAAGAAGGGAGGGAAGTGGTGAACCATACATGTTATGGACTTTCCTTGAAGCAAGGGCCAAAAGTAGGTTAGATTTATGCATTTGGGACCCAAGCACCATAGCCTTTATTAGTTCCTTTAAGAAATGCTACATAATCAACACTCTGGCACAGAGGATGATATTGTGTGAAAAAACATAGATATCCACAACCCTTGAGTAGAAAAGTAATTCAGAAGAGTTGGACTCTGAATGTGAAGTTTTAGAAATACTTTCACCACTTAATTTTGTTTATATTTACCATTTCATGTTTGTAAAAATGATATATGATCAAAATCTGCCTACATCTAAAACTGTTTCAATCATTATAAAATAAAAACTTGTAAGTGTTAAAAATGCATTGTGTTATATGTAGTTTAATAGGCAGAGTTTTTTCTTAGTGATACATAAAAAAAGTTGTTAGAATTGATGGCTCTTCAATGAAGTACAGTAGGTGATAGTTAAAGCCAGGGAATAACTAGCTAGCTCACTTAGCTCTGAGTTTTTATAAAGAATTACAAATTCATAGAATCTACTGGGTACCCAGACTACCTCACCAGACTTCATCCTCATCCTTCAAAACTCAATTCAGGTAATCATATTCCTCAGAAAAAGCCCACCTTCCATCTCCACCCCAGTGGCTGAGTACAGAATTTTAAAAAATGAAGCCAAATATTAGCAAAATGGTGCTCACTTTATAAACTGTGATTTTATTTTTTTTCTGTTTGTGCTTCTAGGGAGAGATATGGAAGGTTATAGTGGGTGCTTATTCAAAAGGAATCCAAGAGTGTTGGTAGGAATAGAACATAGCAAATGAATCAGATAGTGAAGAGCCATCTTAATTTTCTGGTAATTTTTGCTAACCAAATATTTTCATCCCCATTTCTCTCCATTTTCTTTTTTGTTTTTGTTTTGAAAGGAATGGCCAAAAGAAAGGAAAGTAAATATGAGCTCTATTCGGGTAAGTAAATTTATTTTCATCATGTTCAGGGATTTCATAAAGCTTAATTTCATCACAAGAATTTATACCTTTACTTTTTCCCAAATCCCAACTCTGATGCCTAGACAAAGTCAAAGTGAAGTGTTTGCCTTCTGAATTAATTCCAGTGACTTTTATGTGACTTCGTTGGCACATACCCTCTACATAGATAAAACTATTCATAGTTTGACTCTTGCTGTTGTGTCTGTGCATCATCTTATTTTATAATACACTTGCATATAGTCAAAATGTCACTGTAATGCATCTTATTTAACAAAGCCAAGCACAATTGTCTCAATAAAGAAACTCTGCTGTGTACGTATTTAATATAGAAGGTAATATAATAATGTCTGTGTTGTCTGTTTTAGATGTTAAATTCCTAGAGTGCAGGAATGATGACCCATTTCCATTTCACAGTACTTGTTCATTTGAACAGCTGAATTTTTTTTTTATTGGAGTATAATTGCTTTACAATGGTGTGTTAGTTTCTCCTTTATAACAAAGTGAATCAGTTATACATATACATATGTTCCCATATCTCTTCCCTATTGGGTCTCTCTCCCTCCCACCCTCCCAATCCCACCCCTCTAGCTGGTCACAGATCACCGAGCTGATCTCCCTATGCTATGCGGCTGCTTCCCACTAGCTATCTATTTTACGTTTGGTAGTGTATATAAGTGTATGCCACTCTCTCATTTTGTCACAGCTTACCCTTCCCCCTCCCCGTATCCTCAAGTCCATTCCCTAGTAGGTCTGCATCTTTATTCCCGTCTTGCCCCTAGGTTCTTCATGACCATTTTTTTTCTTAGATTCCATATATATGTGTTAGCATACGGTATTTGTCTTTCACTTTCTGACTTCACTCTGTATGACAGACTCTAGGTCCATCCACCTCACTACAAATAACTCAATTTCGTTTCTTTTTATGGCTGAGTAATATTCCATTGTATATATGTGCCACATCTTCTTTATCCATTCATCTGATGATGGGCACTTAGGTTGTTTCCATTTCTGGGCTACCGTAAATAGAGCTGCAATGAACATTTTGGTACATGACTCTTTTTGAATTATGGTTTTCTCAGGGTGTATGCCCAGTAGTGGGATTGCTGGGTCATATGGTAGTTCTATTTGTAGTTTTTTAAGGAACCTCCATACTGTTCTCCATAGTGGCTGTACCAATTCACATTCCCACCAGCAGTGCAAGAGGGTTCCCTTTTCTCCACACCCTCTCCAGCATTTATTGTTTCTAGATTTTTTGATGATGGCCATTCTGACCAGTGTGAGATGATATCTCATTGTAGTTTTGATTTGCATTTCTCTAATGATTAATGATGTTGAGCATTCTTTCATGTGTTTGTTGGCAGTCTGTATATCTTCTTTGGAGAAATGTCTATTTAGGTCTTCTGCCCAGTTTTGGATTGGGTTGTTTGTTTTTTTTGTTATTGAGCTGCATGAGCTGCTTATAAATTTTGGAGATTAATCCTTTCTCAGTTGCTTCATTTGCAAATATTTTCTCCCATTCTGAGGGTTGTCTTTTGGTCTTGTTTATGGTATCCTTTGGTGTGCAAAAGCTTTGAAGTTTCATTAGGTCCCAGTTGTTTATTTTGGTTTTTATTTCCATTTCTCTAGGAGGTGGGTCAAAAAGGATCTTGCTGTGATTTATGTCATAGAGTTGAACAGCTGAATTTTTTTGCCAGTATAATAAAAGGAATATTTAGCCCTTAAACTTCGGGTACTCTCTTGTTTGACTGTTACTTAGTGACTGAATTTCAGTTACGAACCTGGCCACTTGAGCTAACTCTTGGTATGTGCGTCCAGAATGCTGGGAACTTATCCTAGGCAAAGAAGAAGAGGTAGAGAATAAGCAAACAAAGTATTTGATAAGTAATTTTCCCTTTTTTGTGCCTGCAGGGGAAGAAATGGAACTGGTATTTGGACTATTTATTTTCAGAGGGTTTACAAGGCTTGAAACTTTTCATAAGAAGCAGCATTCATCGTTCTTCTGTCCCCTGAGCAGAGAGCATAAACCACCTGATCAACATTAAATGAATGTTGACAGAAACAAACTGAGCATATGGGACTAAATTCCTTCCTTGTTGCTGGAGAGGTCAAGTGGCTCAACTTGAGTTTCCATACTCATTTCACCAACAGACTGCCATCCTCAGGGAGTGCTTAGACTGGCCTTCTATCCATGGCTCAGGAGAGCCTCAATGTGGCTAATTTTATTTTTCAGGATCTAGATTCTTTAGCTCATTAGTGAAAAATGACTTCATCATCAGGCTCTGCCTTCCACCAAATTATACATAAAGAGACATATCTGTTATGTGGTGGGATTTTTCACATTCTTGTGGACTATAAGCTGCATTTTTGATGGAAGAGAGCAGGTAAATAGTATATGGTAGCAGTTAAGCTACAGACATATTCATGCAAAATACTCAGCTGACTCTGTAAAACCTCTGTGGATATTGCCATTTTTCTTGTTGTGAACAACCACACCAACACCAAGTTAAGAGGATACATTTCTAGCTCTAAAAGGTGGCTCTAAGTAGTTGGTAGATTTCTGGGCCTTCACTGGTAGCAGTTTGATGAGAGAAGGAAGGGAAGAGGATTGTGGGATAATCTACATTCCTATTTATACCAGTTTGATTTCACAAAACTGCTCTATTTTGTGTGTGTGCACATGTATGTGTATGTATATATCCCATTTTTGAGTGTTTAGGTCCAAATTAACTGTAACTATTTTCAGGAATAATTGTGAAGCTTTTAAAAAATTGTATAATAGCTAGAGTATCTTGCTGAAAATTGACTACAAAATTTTGCTTCAGCGCTACTGAATAACTCTCCCTCTTTTAATAAAATTCATATCATTTGAAAGAAATCAAGCTGAATTTATTTTTATTTTATGATTTATTTATTTTTTATTATTATTATTTTTTGTAGTACGCGGGCCTCTCACTGTTGTGGCCTCTCCCATTGCGGAGCACAGGCCCCGGACCCGCAGGCTCAGCAGCCATGGCTTACGGGCCCAGCTGCTCCGCGGCATGTGGGATATTCCCAGACCGGGGCACAAACCCGTGTCCCCTGCATCGGCAGGTGGACTCTCAACCACTGCGCCACCAGGGAGGCCCTATTTTTATTTTTAAGTGCACATTGTGGCTCTTTTTTTTTTCCTTTTAAAGCAAAACAGAACCCTAAACTATATTATTGGATGGTGTTCAAACTAAAAATACTATTTATTCATTCATTTTTTTTCATTCATTTTGATTTAATACATATTTATTGAGCTTACCATATACCATGTATTCTTCTGTGTGCTGGTTATACAGTATCTGCTTTTGTGTAATTTACTACATTCCATTGGAGAAGACAGATAATACAGATGTAAACAAATGTACAATATCAGGTGAAAAAGCAAGGAATAGGGACAGAAAGAAACAAACTGAGCGTATGGGACTAAATTCTTTCCTCCTTGGTAGAGAGGCCAAGTGGTTCCACTTGAGTTTCCATGCTCGTCACCAATACACTGCCATCCTTAGGGAGTGCTTGGATTGTCTTTCTATCCATGGCTCAGGAGAGAGAGCCTCAATGTGGCTAATTTTATTTTTCAGGATCTAGATTCTTTAGTCCACTAGGGAAAAATGACTTCATCATCAGACTCTGCCTTCCACCAAATTATACATAAAGAGATATACATGTTTGAGGGAGTTGCTACTTTAGATAAGATGCTTAGGGAAGGCCTGTTTGAAGAGGTGACATATGCAGAGGCCCTAATGAAATAAGTGTATGAACCATGTGAATATTTGGGGAAAGAGCATTCCGGGAAGAGGTAAAGGCAAGTAAAAAGGCTTAAAAATGTTAACTTACTTGGCATGTTTGAGGAATAGCAGAGGCCAGTAAGGTTACAACATAGTGATTAAGGGAGAAACATGGTAAGAAAAGAAATAGGGGAGAAAGCCAGAGAGTAGTTCATGAAGATCCTTATAGCTTGGTATGGATACGTAATGTGAAGCCATTAGAAGGACTGAGAGCAGAGGAGTGGCATCATTTTACTTACCTGTATGGAACTGCAGTGTGAAGGTTAGACTGAAGAGGATTAAGGGTGAAAGCAGAGAGACCAGTTAGGTTATTACAGTGTTCCAGGCAAGAGTCTTAGACTAGTGTGTTGGATGATGGAGAGTGGGGTGGTAGTTAGATACTGGATGCAAGCTCTAAAGGTAAAGAAGATAGGATCTGCTGATAGCTTGGATATGAGGAGAGAGAAAGGGAGGAGTAAAGGATGACTCCTAGGTTTTTAACAGTAGCTGGGTGAATTCTGGAACAGAGAGATGAGGAACAGATTTGGAGGAATGTGGAATCCCGAGTTCTTTATCAGTCATGTTAGTTTGGAGATGCTAAATAGGCAGTTGGCTATCCAAATCTAGAGTTCAGGGTACAGTTTGGTACTGACAAAATTGATTTGGGAATCTTTACTGAATAGCCATGACATTGGATGAGATCACTTAGTACAGCTTGTAAAGAAAATGGCAAAGGACTGAGCCCTGGAGTATGCCAATGTTAAGAAGTAGAGGAGGAACCAGCAAAAGACTGAGAAGGTCCCACCAGTGAGCTTAAAGGAAAGTCAGGAGACTGGTGTGCTGGAAGCCAAGTACAGAAAGTGTTTCAAAAAGGAAGGGTTATTTAATGGTGTGGAATGTAGCCTATATACCTGGATAAAAGAAGCTTTAGCTGCTTTGAAGTAAATCTGATAGCTTCCCCAATGGGTAACTATTTAGAGAATTCTCTTTAAGTTTGTACTCCAAATAACTTCCCATATTATTTTTCAGAACATGGTATTTTGATCCTTAAGATCATGTAGAACTTTAAGTTGTGATAAGGAGTTTTAGTTTTTATGAAATTTAACCAGTAACCATCTTCAGATCATGGAAGAAACTTTTCTAAACTTAAGTTTATGTTCTGGGAGAAAAAAATTTTCTCCTTTAGTTTGCCTTTTTGTTCAATAATGATTCCCTGGATACCTTTTTGACCATATTCTTCTCCTGATCAATTTTTTAACCCACTTAAGATTAGATATACAGCTATGCAAGTATGCCAAATCTAGTTATTTGAAAAGTCTTTTTTGAAGAATCTTCATGGCAAAGAAAAACAAAATTTAAATAAGAATAGCTATTTTGTTTCAGTACCAAACATACCTAGAAAAGAAATAGAAAATGTGGTTTATTTTCCCAATTGTACAAAAAGAACACTTTGTTTACCCAGTATTTGTGTAAAATTGTTGATGTTTTAAATATTGACTTAATATTCAATAATAACACTGCTATTAGATTTCTAACATTTTGTTTTTCTTTTTATCATAACTTCTCCTTTGGTCTTGGGGACAATCTGGAAAGAAAAGTAGATAGTCTATGGTGCCTCACATAACTTTTATTAACATAGTAGAAATTCTCTTTATATCAGATACATTTTTTATCACAAAATCGTTTACTAGATAGAAGAAAAATTATTCTCTAAAATTAGTATTATATTTTTAAGATTTTTTCAGTTGATACTACTTTTCACTTTGTTTAAATTATTAGGTTTTTTAATATAGAGAGCCTCTGTTTCTGTCATGTAAAAAAAAATCTGTTTCTATTAAAGATGGATGCTATGTACTGACTGTTTGTTTCCCTCAGATTCATATGTTGAAGCCCTAACCCCCAATGTGATGGTGTTTGGAGATGGGGCCCTTGGGAGGTAATTCAGTTGTAAGGGTGGAGCTCCCATTAATGGGATTAGTGCCTTTATAAGACGAGACAAGAGAGATACAGTCTTTCTCTCCACTGTGTGAAGATCCAGCAAGAAGGCAGCTGTCTACAAGCTAGGAAGAGGACCCATGCTGGCACCTTGATCTTGGACTTTTAGCCTTCAGAATTGTGAGAAGTAAATTTGTTTTTTAAAGCCACCCAGTCTTTGGTATTTTTGTTATATAGCAGCCTGATCTGATTAAGACAATGGGCAATCGTATTGAACAGAATACACTGTTGACAAGAATCATTAATGCTTTATTTTTATAATACTCAGAAGAGGATATCTTCCCAAGGAGCATAATAGTACATGTGAATTGAAGTTCATTTTAAAGTATATAACAGGAATGCAACATTTTTCAGCTTGCCAGGAAGAATATTAGCTTATCTAAATAGATTTGGTGCACAGAGCTGGAGGCTGGATGTTAAGGAGTCCTTCAATTGCTTCTAGTTTTAGGTTCATCATTAGTGAATTGTACGACCTTGGAAGTCACTTAAATACTTTGCCTCTTGATTCTCTCTTTGGTAAAATTTAGGTTCTGATGTCTGTCTTTCAAAGGTTTGGCATGTAAAATGATAGAAAATTTGTAGAATTTTCATTGAAAACCCACAAAGGGGAAAAGAGATATAAAAGGTTTTCCTAATTTGGAAGCTGTATTTGATCAAAGTATATCTTATAGAAATGCAATTAAAGACTATCCCAGGAGGTATTGGCTTACTGAAGTAATGCGTGTTCTCTGTACTTTACTTTCTGTGTGAACAGAGGTTTCCTGAGCCTTTCTGAGAAAAGTGATGAAAGTATGAATGAATAAGCACCTACTTAATAGTTTGACATCCTAAGCATTTATGAGTATTACAGCCCTGGATACAATAACATAGTTAATATCACATATGAAATTGAACAAGATTGCATTTTAATATGCTTTACTTTCCCCTTGTATCTATTTGTAGGTGAACTTTCTATTACCTGGGGTAGTGAGGAAGAAGGTAGTATATAATTGTTTAATTAGATGTGAATTTCAACTTAAAAAAATAGAACTGAATCCTTTTTCTATTTGTAATCAGTTTTGTGGACTAGGTTAAGTTCACAAACTTGATCATCAGTTTCTGCATAGTCAAGCTCAATGGAACTTCTCCCCAGAAAAAAATACCTAATTGGCCAAAATTAGCAAAGACAGTCATTCAGAGTCTCTGGAGAATGATAAAGGGATTTGCAACAAATTGAAAATCATTTATTCAAAATCTACAAAACTCAGTAATAGTAGTAGG